CTGCACGCTGGGCCGGTATTCCAGAGGTCCGTGGTTCGATTCCCGGCGAAGGCGGTTGCTATTTTTCATCTTGTCTGCTTCCGAAAAATCCTAATGTCTCTACAGTGGCGCCCGACCTAAAAGGGTGTTGGATGAGGATTCTTCACACCCAGGATTTGACGATTGGGTCCCCTAAAAACCCCAGTTGCTCTTTACAAAGGGGAGTATATAACGTATTCTTCCACTTTTCTAGTGTGCCTTCGCGGTGCAGTGGTCAGCACACTGAGCCGGTATTTCAGAAGTCCGTGATTGGATTCTCGGCGAAGGCGTTTGCTAACTTTTCATTTTGTCTGCTTCTAAAAAATCCTAATATCTCTACAAATATATATTTAAAAATTTCTTATTTTAAGAGAATAAATGTAAATTATTTTTTATATGTAAATAATTTACATTTATTCTCTTAAAATAAGAAATTTTAATTTTGCAAAGTGTCTATTTTTAAGAGAAAACTGTATGATCCAGCTTTGAGGTATTTTAAGAATTATGTTATAAATTTATTGTAAACAAGTCTATGAGCTGAAAATAAGAAGAAATTCTAGAAATAAATCAATATTTTATGAAGTTTCTCTTCCCTTTTAATTAATAATAAATAGCAATTTAGCTCTAAATATAACGTAATTATTATAGAATAGAATAGAATTTATATTGATTTAGTGGCTTTGTCATGAAATATTTATTTCGAAATTGCTGTAAAATACATTATTAAATTATTGTGAAATTGCTGTGATTATCTTTTCAATTTCTACATCAATTTTTAGTATTAATTGATTATTTCTTTTAATTCATCTATCTTTTCAGAAATAAAAATCATGAAATATTAAATTACTATTTTTTTAAAAATATATTTACACGTTTTCTTATTTATTTAACTGCATGCAAGTGTATTTTTCCAACATACAATTTGGTCTGATAAGGTATTTTAAAATTCTTTCTGATGTTGCTATTATTCATGTAATTATTTAGGAAAAAATCTTCTTTGCTCCCCATGATATAATGCTTAATTATAAAGCTTTTTTTATCAAGAAAAATCTCATAATTTTTTATGAAAATTGGAATTTTTGGCTATTGTCTGAAGTAATGTGAAATCTTTGTCGTAACGACTTCGTCAAACTCTTTGCATCAAACTTTACCAGAGCAGATATAGGATGCCAGATGCAGGCGGATAGTAGATGAAGATAATCATTAATAAGATTTGGTCGGTATCGCATTCTGAGCTGTAACAAAAAGAAAAAAATAAAGAGAAGACATTTATGATTTATGTAATTTCACGCACATGGAACAGGAAATTCGATGTACATCTATTTTCTTTAAATACTAATGTCTCTAATTTCATTGCTGTAGAATTTTCAATTCTGATTATTTATTAATGTTGTTTCCCTGTTAATTAAAACTGCTAAGAAAAACTCTTCGTAATATAGTGCGACGTTTTATACTTACAATGGGAAATTATTTTTACCCTCCGAGCGTTACGGGTTTAGCCCTGAAATTTCAAATTTCCTCAAAATGTTAAATGTAAGTGGTATGTTCTTGATTTTAATTAAAAAAATGCCTCTCTCACTTTGTACCTTGATTCCTTTTCTTCCAATATACATCCAAACCGAAAGCAGATACGTTAAAAACTAGTAGAAATTTTCATGTATAATGAATATAGAAGGCAGCCTTCTATGCGGAATTTTCTGGCCGTAACGCTGAGAGGGTTTTAATATTGTTGTAATGCTAGAGACTGAACCATCACGTTAGTAGAAAAGTACTTTTCAAATTTAGGGATGTACATTTGTATTTTCAATTGTGTTATCAACATATTTTATGCCTTTGTCTTATTTATGCTTCATTAGTTAAATAAATATTATATTTGCATGCATTATTCATTTTATTATTAATTCTTAAAAATTTACATCGCGTAATTTAAGATCTCAAAAAGATATTTTACTTCAAGACTTAGATATTTAAATAACCATTTCTGAAGAAAATAGGAAATTGTACAAAATTCCTGATGGTGGTTTACGACTGAGATCTTAATTTATAGTCTTATAACGATAAGCAAAGAGCATTTCCTGCTCTACCAATAAAACTTGGAGACTTCTACTGAAATTTTTGTGTTGTCTTCTTGTATATCCTAGACGGCGGATACATTTTATGTTGCGACTTTCTGATTTAGAGCAGGAAGTACGCTACCATTTTTACAACCTCAAAGAAGAGCCTCATATCTTTCTTGCTTTAACTGAAGGTTTTTCAAAGATTTTTTAGCTCACTTTTACCAAAATTTGGACCTCTTAACTATAGACGTGTTTTCAAAGCATGAATTATCAAAGTAGTTGCTAATTACTCAATAATTATCTTTAATTTCTTTTGTTCGAGTACTTTTAGTCATTGTGCAAAGGGAGAGTATACTCATTCACTATTATTGATACAAAAGAAACAAATTACGTTAAAAATGACTCGTTGAAGTGCGTAGAGTAGTTAAATTTGTAACTTTTTAATATTACTCTATTTGTGATAAAATAGGTAATGGATATTAAAATAATATCTAATATCTAATTAGTATCAAGCTCATCTATTTCGTTCTGTAGTGCCATGATAGCTATACTGGAAGAAATTTCTTCCTTTTACATCTCTTTTCCCATTTGTTTATTTTATTTCTGAGCCTATATGAGCTCTCTATGTAAAATACAAAACTTAAAATCATAGTCTCGTATATAAAATATACAGTTTAAAATAATCACTTAATAACAGTTTTCTTTTCGTCACAAAACCAAACAACTTGATATAAAATACAATAAATTTGTATGATATGGAAGATAAACTACAAATCTTATGAAGTGAGGAATGGCGACATCTGGCAAATTCTAATGAAACGGATAGACCGTGATCTAATAGTATAACGTAGAGTGATGAGAAAATAGTTTACTCTGTACACACATTATAGCTTCCTTTGCCAGGACGTCTGCAGCCTGGTTACCCTCTGATGTGCCCTCGTGCGCCTTTAACCTGGGTTAAGGCGCACGACGGCACAGAGGGCAACGAGGCTGCAGACGTCCTGGCAAAGGAGCTGTCAGTGGAACCGATGCCCATCCAGACAACATCCCAGCCCCGGCGTCTCATATAAAACCAATATTGCATCAAGCAGTCCTCAGAGAGCGGCAACATGAATGGAACCCAAGTGAAACAGGTCGCCGCACCTACATCTTCCTTCCAAAAGTGTCAACGGCCCGTCTCATTGCAACCTTACAACTCACAAGATATATCACTGGACACGGCCCTTTTCCTTCATATTGCTTCAGACACCAAATCTCCAACACGGACACCTGCATCTGCGGCCGAGAAGGAACACCCCGTCATTACATCTTCCACTTCTTACTTACAAACCATAACTCATATTAAGCATCCCACAGTAATAACTGAGGCCTTCTAGCGCTACGTTATCAGCACTAAGCCAACAATAACATAAATCTCCAAAACCATCGACCCATTAACCTCCATGGACCAAGATGTGTGCCAGCCATACTAAGTCCTGGCCAGCCATACTAAACTCTCGCCAGCTTCCCAGTAACAGCCCACCACACGACCTACATGAGCAACCAAAGAACATCGACTGCAAACATTTTCGGTTCCATGAAACTCCATGCAATTGTCACAGGATCCAATGCCTGCACTCCACCGTCACAACTACTATAAACTATGTAAACTGTAACTATGTGAACTGTGCTACTGAAAACTGTGAACTCTGTGTACTGTGCAAGCTACGATCAGTGCTTACCGAAACCACGAACTGTGAAAATGCGCAAACTGCAAAACTGCAAAACTGCAGAGTGAGTAAATATGCATCCTCCTGTACTAAAATTGCCGCCATTTGCATCACTACAACCGCAGCCAGCTGCATCCTCCTGTTTCCTCCGTCAAATTCGCAACGATCTGTGAACTGCGAGCATATAAGTGCACGTTCGAAACAGAGACCTCAAGCAACTGTAAACTATGTGCAAATTATTGAACAACGCACGCAAACAGTAAATGATTTGCGATTATATACATGGGCAAACTATTTACCTATGTGAACTACGCAACCCTGTACAACCTTGTGTGCAAACGCTTGTGTAATCGCAGCTTAGCTTAACACATGCCTTAATTATATTTCTTTATTTGTTTTAAGTATTGCTCTTTTTTATATTCTGCAACATTTTTGTTTTTTTGCCATATCTGTTGAGTCGAATTCTCTCCAAATCTGCAAAACAAAACACGATCTCCCTTGTTTGGCCACGTACAGCCTTTTTCATGTCTCAATAAACTCCCGACACATTCTCTTGGGGCTCTAGGGAGTTGTAGTCGCTAGATAGGTAAGGGCGTGGGACATACGTCTGTTTAACCTATGTTAGACACCAGGCGTCACCGTCCTCCGTAACCCGTAACCTGTAACCTGTACAAGCATTATTTTTATAAAAAAATAATTTATTATTTTATTATTTTAATAAAAAATAGACCCTAGCAACAAATATAAATTTAGTATCATGATTAATATAAGATTTTTATCAGTGTGTACTGTAATGCGTATTATAAGTGTTGTGTCGTTAACATATTATTATCATTGATACGTAATCCTCAAATACATTTTCATAAAATTAGAAGAAGTCGTATTTCTGACTAGTCCTTATGAGTCTAGAAAAGCTTCCTTTCTCTGCTACGCAAATAGAGGAAATACGATAAAATCGGTTGCAAGCGGTAGATCTGCATATCTGAAGATGGCATCGTTTTCAAAATTATAGTTTTTACTGATAAATACAGTTCTGAACAGTGAAAAACAACGATTGTTTCTGTTTTATTATTCAGTTTTCCTACTAAGCAATTCGATTTTCTTTGAAGGTTGGGGAAAGGGGTTCTGATTTATAACTACTAAAATAGTTATTGTAGTTATGTGTAGTTTTGTGGAAGAGAATACTTAACAAGATTTTTTCCCTTTGTTTCAGTAGATTCCAGCCACCACCACCACCCGTCCGGCGAGAAACTTCGAGGTGGCGGTGATGGAGGAGGGGGTGGTGGAGGGGAGAGCGGGGAAAACTCCGGTGGGGATGAAGGAGACCCCAAAAAGAAGAAAAGACAGAGGCGGCAGAGGACTCATTTCACAAGCCAACAGTTGCAAGAGTTGGAGGCCACTTTCGCCAGGAACAGATATCCGGACATGTCCACTCGAGAGGAGATTGCGATGTGGACGAATCTCACAGAAGCACGTGTTAGGGTTAGTGGAAAATGTTTCTTTTACTTTTGCTGTCGAATCTGAACTTCTTCAGACAGCTGTGAATATTGTTTCTTTTATGGTTTGGTTTTAATTATCAGCTCTTTGGAAAGCTTTGAGATTTGCATTATCTTGTCTTAGAATTCTGCTGCAAATACACAAAATCTTATCAAATTACCTGTTTATTTGTCTAATTATCTACACATTTATTCTATTTATCATGGATCTCTCTAACCGTGTCTTCACTGAAACAATATTTAAATCTTTATAAAAGTAGATATTTTTCAGTATTTAAATCATCGTATAATTTAAAGAATATTTTTAAACCTCTTCCTTTTCTCTCACTTTTCCTACTTCTTTTAACCAGCACCGTGTTTGGGAAACTATCTCTCTTATCTAAGTTTTCAAGTGAATAACAGCAAATTTTTAATCTTATAAAGTTAAATTGAAAATAAATAAAATAATTAGAAATTGGAATTTTATTTAATTTAAAACTTAAAAAATGAAATGGCACAGTGGCATATAAAAAATATTGAAAAACATTTACTAAGAGGATATTAATAACAGATGACATGCTAGTAATTTAACTCAAATTTTATCAGAAGTTTTCTCAAAACTCCGATATTAGCAGTTCTTAGTCTGTTCCTGTTTTTGGACAAAATATTTTTAATCATCAGTCAATAGATCAAATTTGAAGTTAAACAAAGAAGAAGAAACTGTATCGTAGGACATAATAATGCTCGATATATACTAAAGATATTTTCTTTTGTAATCAGGAATCGTAACATAAATGTTTTTACGAATTTAATTGCAGGCCGTCGTTTTTTAACAATCCGATAAATTATTCTTTATTGGATTGGGATAATATTTGTAATGGCATATTTTTCTTGCAATGCTATTAGTACGGTATTTCTTGAAATGGTATTTCCTACTATTTAATCCCTTCAAAACGGATAAGTGAAAGTTAGTATTCTCTCCGTTAGACACCAGTTCGTTTTATAACATTTCAGTCATTTTATTTAATTGCCCGATCAGGTTACATATTGTAGTTAGCTAGATTTTTAAATTCATAGCGGCTTCTTGTTGCTTGCACTCGAGAAAACATCATAACAAAGAAGTAAAATCAATTTGTCTCTAAAACTTAATTATCATTGGCTAGACATTTCAAACAACTGAATAACCTATCCGTTCCCAGAGGTTTGCTGAAACAGTTGCCACATGGGAGTATTCCGATCACCACTGCCGCAGTTAACCAATCACTGACCCAAACCGAGAACCGAACCTAGTCACATGGAGATTGTAAGTTTTACGTCTTTTTGCTATATGGAATCAGCTCTAATAAGCTTCTTTTAGAACATGCCCTTTGATTCTGATCTGTTGAATTTAAAATGCAGTCGTCTACATATTTAAGAAAAGAAAACATTGAGTGGAGCTTTTTTTCTTTAGATTTGATTATTATAACCGGCGACGATGATTTTTATAAAAGGGCTGCTTTTAAATGAAATTTCATTTATTTTAATTTGTCCAATTATAATAATCATCGATATTAATAAACGTGGGGAATGTATTAAAAATAGAATGCTCCAAAAATATAGGTATAAACGATCTGCTTCTAAACAACCTCATAATATTCACATCTCTTTATTTAAGATAATAAATTATTTTTCTGGACTTAAAGGGACATATTTTATTTATTAATGCAAAGAAAATCCTTAAAATCCTTGATCTGACTTGAAAGGGCTGCTGCCGATGATTAATGATTAGTCTTCTACTTACAAAGAAGAAACATAAATTACCTTTGACATCAAATTAGATTTTGAGTTAAGTGAAATTTAGAATAAAATGAAATAATAAAAACTTAAAGAAAATTCAAAACTAAAGGAACAGATTTTTTAACCCAACAAATAAAATCAAAAATCACTGAAGCATTTAAAATATGTTCTGTGCCTGTTGAGCTGAGAAAAGTACGGAATTTATTTAGAAACATATGAAGCGATGTCAATGTCAAGCAAGGCTTTAAAACTGAAGGTGGCACTATCTTTTTGCCTCAATTTAAACTCTATATCATTATCTAAGACGTATCTTCTAATTTCATATGAAGAAAATGTACGTACCCTATTAAGCTTTTTCAAAGCGGTACACGTGAAAGTCAACAGCGCATCCCCCTAGATTCCAGTCACGGATAGTTATTTGAATTAAACTACCCGAAAGTCCACGGGGAAATGCAATAATTCTTTACAAATTTTATGCTGTATTACGTTTATTATTTCAAAAATAACAGAAGAAACTTGGAGTTTTTATATGTCTTGAAAAGCTTTCTGTGCAATTTTTATGTTCATGAAAATTTTTAAATGAACGCAAGTTAATGGAATTTATGTGGATTGATTTGAAAATGCTGTGACATTCTAAACCAGCTAACCACCATCTTTCATTAGCCTTTTCTCTCTTTTTTTAATAAAATTCACAAATTTTTTACTTTAGGTAAATAATCAGCCAAAATCAAAATTTAAATTTTATGCGAACTCTGTTAAAGAGAAGTAAAAATGCAAGAATGAGAAGATAGTGTGGTAAGATAATTTAAGGTGGTATTTAAGTAATTCAACTGACATTTCTTTTGTGGCTTATGTAGACAAGATGCAATACTTAGTCTGAACAACTACATCAGAAAGATGGTATAGTGTATAATTTAAATGAATTTATGGTGAAGAGTAAAAAATGAAAGAATAATATCATTTTATTGTAGCTAAAAGTATTAAGACCTCCTCTACAAGACGCTTAATGATGCACCCATCAGAATTCAAACTAGTAATACTACTACGCAGTAACGAAACATCTTTCTTTATTTTACAGATTAAAATTTTTTTCGCATGGTATATTAATAATATTATTTGCATATATTAATATTATTTTGCAATTAAAGCTTTCCGTGTCATAGATGAGAATTTTCAAAAATTAATTTTTTATTATGCATTCAAAATATAATTTAAAACAAAATAATTTTTTAAATCAAAATACTTACCGTTGTACAATATAATGAATTATTAAATGCATCAAGCATATTTATATTTATTATTAGCGATAAAATGCTACATTTAATTCATATAACACGTTTTGATTCTAGCAGAGATACCTACATTTGTAACTACTTCTATGCTTTTTAGTATTAATATACCCTTACTATTTCGCATAGAAAATATTTCTATTTCTAATAATTAAAAAATTAACACTTATGAGATAAATAGAGCATAATTCGTATATCTCGTGAACAAACAGATAGAATTTTATAATAATCAAATATCTCGTATTATTTTAAAACATTGCATATTAGCATTATCTTATGTACTTTATAAACTACTCTTCTGCAGCTGTTTTTTTTTAAAACAAGTTTCTCCCCAAGATTCGATACTTGCGCAATCTATCTTAATAATATTAAAAATCAAATATTTGTTTTAACACTTTGCTAAATACTTTGTATTTCTAACACAGATATTCTTACTTGCTTCTTTAAATATTTAATCTGACTTTTGATTTAAGTCAAGTATTTTGCTTAAAACCACAATTTGATTTAAAGTGGAGGGAATGGGTGTTTTTACTCCTGCTATTTTTTAAATGGCATAAAATTTTTGACAAAACAAATATATACTGTTGGTAGTATTTCAGAATGATAACGTCTTAAATCTCTGAGTAATCTTTCTCAAAATGAAATTACTTAGTTCTTGCTGGAAATTCATTCCCTGATAATTTGTATTTTTGATCCTTAAACTAAAGTCAAACAAGTCGTCCTGTAAATTTGATTTCTTAATCTCTTCTGCTATATTTTTAATCTGGTCTTATATTATCTAGACTTACCGAGATTTACACCGGTAAACTGAGATACTGGTGTTAGCACTGAAAGTTTTGCTAATATGTGAGCGAAATTGACTTTTAAAAGGTAACATTCGACTTGTTAAATAAATCTTCTTGTGTAATCGCATTATGAATTTCAGACACCAGTCTCAGTGCACTGAGCACAGACAGAGTGTTTAGACGTTTTGTGCAAACAAATTGTGCTTCTGTTATGCGGGTTATAATGTAAGAATGTAAAATACTTTTAATAAATTCTAAAGTTTCATAATTTTATATGTTATACTTAAAAATAATGCATAAATGTGTTAAACTTAAGCTCTGATAAATAGTATTTCCCCTGTTTCCGTATACCCATGTCTTCGCTGTAGTGATATTTTAACAAGGCTTATATTGGTACATTCTCTGTGTACCCAATTTTCTAATTTTCTTTTTCGTTTAAGTGATAGTTAATTTAAATTATTTTCTAAATTTCTTTTCTTTTCTTTTTAAACTATTAGAAATATTAAACTTTTAGATAATAATTCACTCACTTTATAAATTTTAGTTTATTCCTGTACGGAATGGAATTCTTTAACTTCTTTAACTTCTGGAATTCTTTAATTTTTAACTTCGAAATATTACTATTCCATACATTTGAACCGTAATTTGAAAGATATTCTTTTTATACTATATTAACTTTTTATAATATTAAATGTATAATTAGACAGTTATAGTTAGATTATTAACCCTCCAATAATTAGTTTTTAAATAAAAATATCCAGAAAGAATTTTGACTCAATTTAATGTAATTTTACGGAATCACAATTAAATTGGAGGAACTTGAAAATGAGTTACGTCATATACTTAATTACCATGTTGATTGGAGGGAACTATTTTCATACCTTCATATGGAGGGAGTTCTTCATTATCTCTTACAATAAATATAAAAATATACAAAAAGTGCATAAAATTGTATTCTAAGTTACGCTATTTAAATTAAGTAATCTAACTTTATATTTTAAATTAACTATCACAGCAGTTGCTGTCTAAAAGTAGAGTCTCTTTTGCACTAAAAATTAAATCATGGCAAGCCCTTAAAAATATTTTGGAGCATTAAGAGAATTCGTGGAACAACACAAATAGTAGCATAAATATTTCTTGTGTAAAAATGATCACAA